CAGTCTGACATATGAAAAATAAATGTTTTGCCAAAGCATCTGCTGTTTTAGACTTGTAACTATACCATTCTTAGTAAGAAAGTTCAAGTTTTTTGTGGGTGTGGTGTCTAACACACACAAAGTTTTACCAAGAGGTGAATCTAGTTAGAGGGTACAGACTGAGAGGTGTAAAATATTAGAGAGTACACAGTGACCACAGAACAATATTCAATTAATAAATGAGTATGAACAAAGATTGTTCTAGTTGGTTACACTGTGATTGATTTGAGACCAGCTGGATTGTCCAGGCTACTTGAGGAGTGAATTTATTAACTATTTTCTTGATTTTCCAGTTCCTGGTAGTTCATCTAAATGGGAGGATGTTCAGTCCAAGGCCCGACAACTGCTGCTGAACACATTTGGAATGTACAAGTGCTCTGTGCAGCTTCAGAGTTACAAACAGGAAATGAGCAAAACCTGCGCAAGTTGTCAGAGTTCCAGTGCCTAATTTCGTATGTTTTGGGAACTGCTGCCTTATTCTTTATCTTGTAGTCAAAGACTGAGAGCAATAAATGCAAAAAGAAAATTAGTTTCCATTAATATGTGGATTTGTACCATGTGACGTGCAGCAGGGAGAACTGGTGCTGCAAACTGTGCAGTGGTTGCCCTATGGAACGTGTATTTCACTCTCTCCCTTGTACTGGTTTATTCAATTTATTATGATTTTGAGACAAAGCTGTTTTCGGATTCTTGTTTACAAACTGCAATGTGACTCTGCAGATACCTCACAAATTACAGTCCAATATTGTCGTCTAATCACTACGTACTGCAAAGTACCTGCACTCCAAATGGAGCATCAAGTATTCAGTATTGCAGTCAGACATCTCTGATGCTGTTCATGTCAGGGTTGCACAGTATGTCATGATCCCCAGTTTCATTATTCAGTATTTTTGCAATAGTAATTTTCATGCAGTATCTTAAACTATTATGCATACAGTGCCAGTTGAATTCTTGTGGAAACTGTCTCTTTGGAGACACTGCAAAATACAGAATTTACTGTACCCAGACCAGAAAGTTAGCTTTAATCTGGGCATTCAGAGATCCAGACAGGAAGATCCTTGCCCAGACTTGTGGTATTTAACTAGAGACCCAACACTGGACCCAAAGTGTTTTAAGTGATCAGTTACCTTTAATGTATTTTAGAATAGGGTTTATACATTAGAAGCAGGTTATTTATTTTACAAAGTTTTGACTTGTAAGATGAATTTATTGATAATCTTGAATGTCTAAACCATCATTTGATTTACTTTACAAGGCCAGTTGATCAGCATGCATTCTAATTGTAATTAATAAATGTCCTGTAATTGATCATTTTTCCATGATTGTTTTGTTCTAAAAGAAGAGTCAAATGATAGAAATGATGATTGATGTGGAGATACTCTCAAACACAATCTACAGACATGCCAGACAGGAGCACCTAACTGGAAAGTGGGGAGCAGGAGTTTTAGGTATGCACTATTGTTCAGTCACAGCCCTCTGAGCGTTTCGTCTTTGCTTTGAGCGCAGTCTGGCAGAATCCTGATGGAAATGCCACTGCAAGAGCAGTTCCCACTGCTTGGCTTATGAATAAAGCAAACTCCAAGCAAGCTCAGTAACCTAACGGTGTTGGACAACAATATGATAACAACCTACAGCGGCAGAAAGGCCTTTTTGTATTTATAGGGATGAGGCAATCTGAAAAGACTGTTCATCTGGACACCTCAGAGTCTACAGAGCTGAACTGCTTGGCCTCATTGTGGAACCTTTGTACTTTGAATGTACACAGGATAAAAAACCTTAACACTAAGCTATCGTACACCTCCAAGCTGGGATTCACGCCTGCTTCTGAAGTCATTGGCACTGAAGAAGTTAAGGGCAGCAAGAATCTGTCCTGTGAAGTTCAGAAGACAGGAAGAACTTAGCTTCAAATATTTTTTTGCTTATTCTGTACTTTGATCTTTATGCAGAACTTCCACTGGTATCAAAAGTAGTTCTCTGTGTGGATCAGAAAAGAAAATTTATGCCCAGTTATGGATATTGTGATACTCAGCTGTGAATACTTAAGCTATTGTCTGTTCTGAAATTTGCTAGGGTTTCACATATTCATCAGGCTGATTTGTACCTGCAATTGGTGGGAACAATCTTGGCTTCTTTTCTTCCCTTTTTGGAGGTAGGGGTCACATGATGAATTTTTATTGGTAAAAGCTGACAGCACGTTATGAATTTGGACAAAGTGCACATAACACTGGATTGTGTTTGTATCGGTTCTGGCAAGAAACTGGAACACTTGAGTACAGCATGGGAGCACATGGAGCTCAGAGGCAGAGGAGCACTGTGCTTGGGAAGCTAATGCTGCAATACAAACACTCATTAATTAAGCCATATCACAGCTCATGAAAAATGTGCATCCCATCCTTACAAACTTAGTGGGAAACAAAAACCCCAAACCCCAAGCAACAGGTATTTTGCACATACTAATACTCAAATGGGTTTTAATTAAATTGGGGTTTGCAGTCGATGTAATTAGATGTTGAAGTACAGTAGACATGTATTGTATTTGGAGTTTTTTAATAATTTACTACACATTTGTTTAACTGAAGAACAAAGCAGGTGTGTTGCTTTATTGTGGGTTTTATTAAATCAATTATTAAACTTCACATTGTCTTACAAAATATTTCTTTGTATTTCTCTTGTCATCTTTGAATTCTTAGAGCAGTTGTTTTTTGAAATGTCTGAACACTCACACTTCCCTCAGGTTGGAGGTGCTGTCTGTAGAGTGAATTCAGTCTCCCCTCTTTAATCAGAACAATTTAAGTCTTGTTATTTCCTCTGCAATAACTGCACTTTAGAAAATATAAGCTGACAAAGTGTGGTGAAGGATCAGCCATAAAGCAACTGACAGAGCATTGCTGGATCCCTACATTCACCCTGGAGGGGCCCTTGTTAACAAGGTCTGTTGACTGGAAGCTCAGAGAAAAGGCAACAGAAAATGAAATGAGAATAAAGGATAAAACAATCAATAGGTTCCTACAAATAAAGACAGTGATTTTTACGGACACTGCAAGACCATTTTCACTATCAGCTTAAGAGGAAAGGGGCATCAGTATAAGTAAGGTCTGATGTTTTTCCAAGCAGTATCCAGCACATCCACATTATGTCATGTGGCTATGATCATTTACATATTCTTACACTATTCACTCCACCAAAGCCTCTGCTTGAAATAAAAATGCTTTTACTTGACAGGACTTCCCTCTAACCAAGAGATTTACAAGATCTGAACAGGTTTCCACAACTAGTACCTGTGCTGCAATGCCCATGCTGACTGAACAGATGAAATCCCATGTAATTTCTACCACCTCTGAAAGTCTACACTGGGAGAAGGTTTTTCCCTTCTTAAGCTGTGATTGTCACCCATCCTTTTCTGAAGCATGGATACATTTTTTGATGACAACCTACTCATATGAGTCAACAAAGCATTTTCATATTGAGTAGACAGCAAACCCTCACATCCCACTCTTCTACTCTGACATGTTCTTTTCCAAGGGAAAAATTAACAGAAACCTATTTTGTTTCTGTGTGTTTTCCTTGCTTAATTCAGTGGTTTGTTTTATTTTAAATTGTGTTTACATTTAGTCTTCTCAATCCCAGCAGCATTTCTTTCTGCACCAGCAGAACTACCATTTAAAATGCCATACTGGAATCTGGTCTTGAGTTATGTTACTACTCTACATATCTGCTATTTCTTGCACAATCACTCCCAACTGGCACAATGACTAAGAGAAGCAGTAGGCTGGCATTCAAAAGTAATTTTGTGACATAAACCTAAGAATCCCAGAAACACCCACTAACTAATGAGTGGCAAGTCTTTTGTTCAGGTATTTTGGCAGAATCTCATGAGGACACTGCACTGATGCTGCACAGAGCAGGGATGCTAATATTATTTCTCTCCACAGATACTACAAGAGTGTAATAAATTAAGATAGGTTGTTGAGTAATTAGACATGATACATACTGCAGCAGCTGCCTAGGCTCCAATAGACCAGTCCATTGCCAGAGAAGAAGTTCTATTGGGATTTCAAGGGAAGGGAACAATCTACTGTAAATACTCAGCTCGTTTTTCTCCCTCCATCCAAAATGGCACGGCCAAGGTCTTTTCTCTTGCTGGTTTCTCCAAGTACATTCAGTTGGCACACCTAGCTCAGAAGTTAAGTTTCATCTGCACTTTGCATTATGCCACCGCTCTCAGCTTCTCTCACTTTGTTTTCTTGCAATATTCTGCCCTCTCCACAGTTTCACTAATAATGTCCAGCTCACACCCTGTGCACCTGCTGCTTACATGGTCACCAGGAGCTTGTCACAGCACCAGGTGTGAAACACACCCCAGCAACTTGTGAGGCCTGAGCTATTCAAATACAGGTTTGCCCTTGCCCAAAGTCCATTTCCCCTTTGATCAACACATAGAAGAAAACCAACCCTTCTAGCCACCCAGTTGCTAACTCACAGGAAAGACCTAATCTGACAGCCTCTAGATTCCCTTTCTCCTGTAAAAAAACAGGTAAATGTCTTCCACATTCCCCACCCTTAATCCCCTTTCCAGCTTCACCCCGTCCTCCCCTCTGTGACAAATTGTGCTGGGCACTGAGTCTCTGTGCTCTGAAGCTGGCAAATCCTCTTCTATTCTGTTCTCCTTTTTCCATGTTCAGTCGCTGAATGCCCTAGGAAGGACCATATATGCTCGTTTATTCTGAGGAATACCTGACACAACTTTGGAAGCTACTAAAATAAATATGGATCTTGTCCACTTACTGCTATCCAGCTACCACAGCAATCTGCTCTTACAACACATGTACCTGCCCTCTATGTGTGCAGCTGTAAAATGACAATGTCCAAATCTGTATTTTTGCTCTTTTACCTCTATTTTCCTTTTCTCCACCATGTTCTGCTTTTTTTCACCCCCCTCTCAGTATGACCCAGTTTGAAAGCGACCAGTGCTAAACATACAGAACAAAATAAGTGCTGTGAAGCATTAACATCTTTTATGGCATCAATATATGAAAGCCATTTCATAAGAAAAAGCAGAAATTTATCCTTAAGATGACAGCTTTATGATGTCCTTACATGGGGAAACAATAAGTTGTTTTTCCAGGATCATAACTAGCCAGTGCATGAGGCTACATGAAACCAGTTAATGCTGTCTGTCCAGAGTGTGCTTTGCAGTAAACTCAGCACTGATACATTTAGATGAAGAAATAAAGGAACCCAGTTGGCAAGCAGACATAAAATTTGCTTTTGTCTCAGGTGCATTAAGACCACCCAAGTCCCTACAATCTTCCAATTTCTACTTCCCAAAACACACACAAAGAAATGATCTAATAAATCTCTAGCTAAACTGGTTAAATGTAAACTTACACACCCAGTTACTGAAGTCCAGTAACTGGCCTTTTAAACTCATCGTTCAGATGATGGTAGATATTTGAGCCTAGCACACAAAGTATTCCTGATTTCGTAGTTTTCCCGTGTTCCCACACGGTGGTGCAGTGGCCCCAGCGCTACCAGCGCTGCCTGCGGAACAGAACTCTGGAAACTGCTCCATGGGAAGGGAAAATACCCTGTCACACACTTAAAACATGTTTTATTAAAAAGTTTTCATAAAAAG